GTTGCGTCCAGTACGAAGTCAAACGATTCACGACAACGGACTCAATCCACAACAAGTCGAGACCCAAACGGGAGTGAGAACACTCACCCAAATGTCGGTATCTACTCACCAAATCGGCTGCATCAAAACTGATTGCCTATGTATCCTCTTGCCTAAGGAATCAAGACTTCACGTAGTTCACCCGATGGCCTTCAAAGACCCTTAATCCAATAGAAGAGCACGTAACCCTCCTCCATCATCACCAAATCTACGACTGATAGCATCTCCAATGACCTCAAACTAAAACGATCCAAACACCTCTGCCTGAGGTGAACCAATGGCCATGTCCAAATTACGCCTATCAGATGCACTCAAAACAATCAACACGTCATCTGCATCCGAAACCAAATGACCCCCATGTTGTGTCACCTCAGCTGAAGTCCCAAACAATACAGAATGACCTGGAGTATGTGGAGTAATATCCACCCAATATGGAGTAGCATCACTCTCCATCCGCTGTAATATCCAACTGATCTGATCAACACTCTCCACCTGTCGAGAGTCCAATATGACATACCTGCTCAGAACGAAATCAGAAGCACCCAAACGATAGCCAAACGAGCCTCTGAATCCCAAGCGCGCAATCGGATCAAATTTCACATCCTCGATGTGACCAAATGTTGGGTAACAAAATATCTGATGCTAACTAAAATCCGAAGCAGCTCCACCAGATCCAAAATCACTAAATGCAGCAGTCGACAGTCGACAACCTATGTATAAGATGATCCAAACGTGTCGAAGCCTGAATACTAAGTCCAATGCTCGACAACCAACGACGATCCTCCAGAAAGGAACAGCTCATCAAATCTGCCATCTCATATCGTCGCCTTAATGTCTCCTCTCCAATGAAGTGTCTCCAACTTCCATGAGCTCGACACAAATACAAGAAGAAACCCCTACTTGAGCTAGTACGATGTATAACCTTTTTGCCAACACACTTCTTCCAACTGTTGCGGACTACTAGGACTTCGATCAAACTAACGAGGCTTGGTTGCGACCCATAAATGCCTAGTGCAATCCCTAACTTCAGCAACCAAAAAACAATTACCTCCTAATGATGCCTCCTTGGAAGGCCTCCAAACGTCTGACTGAACACCTCCTAAAAGACCCCTCGATCGATGGATAGAAGTGCCAAACTCCACCATGGTCTTCTCACTCATCCCAATGAGCGCAAAGAACTTCCATTTGTAGGTCAACTCACTCCTCAACAAACTATGCACAGCATCATCAATCAAATACCCCAGCATCAAACAACGCCACAGTCTAGCCAAATCCAATAAAGTCGTCAGCGCTCTATCAATCACCGTGCTCCCAAGCAAATAGTACAAGTTACTCCTTTTGACGCCCTTCATCATAATCATGGACCCAAATATAATATTCAAACGTGCATCCGCCAAAGTCACCATATAGCCTGCTGCCTCCAAAACTCCAAGTAAAATAATGTTCTTCTTTAATTGAAGAACGAACCTTACTTCAACCAACTCCTAAATCACCCCGTCACTCATCTGAATACGAACGGTATCGATACCACCAATAGGGCATTTGTGATCATTATCCATGAGTACAACATTCTCTCTTTCTAACTCCTGAAAGCTAGAGAACCAATCCCTCCTAGGACAAATATGGTATGAGGCACCCGAATCCAACATCCACTCAGTGGAGTTAGTAATACAAACTGATGGAAGTGCTGGACACGAATAGCCCGAAGAATCTGAATCTGAAATATTGCCACTAGCATTGGCAACATTCACCTCTGAAGCTTCAATCGCTTTCCCCTTATTCTTCCCGGCTCGATTATTCAATTTTGAGCATTCGGCTTTCCAATGTCCATCTTCTTTACAAAAATCACACTGATTCCTACGAATTCCAAGATGTCCCCCTCTAGACTGCGACCTTCTACCTTGGTTTGGACTCTTTGCTCTTGCAACCAATGCCCCCGCTACCATCTCAATAGAAGTCTCCTTATCTTTCTTCCTAAGTTGGTAATTCACAAGTACAGTGGTGACCTCACTATATGAAAGATATGCCTTTCCATTAATAAGAGTAAGAACGAAGATCTCATATTCCTCGTCATGCAAGGAACTCAACAATAGCAACGTATTGTCCTCATCTTCAACAATAACATCTACATTCGTCAAATCTGCAAAAAGCTTTGTGTAGTGGTTCATGTGATCACCAATGTCCCCTTCTTTAATTGGAAGCGATAAAACCTCCTTTTCAAATGTCTTCGTCAAGTACTTGCCCTCTAGGACTTCCCAAATCTTCTTAGCCGAAGTCTCATTCATCACATCATATTTTAGATCTTGAGTGAAACAAGACCTAATCACACCACTTCTTAGCCGAAGTCTCATTCATCACATCATATTTTAGATCTTGAGTGAAACAAGACCTAATCACACCATACGCCGTTCTATTTATTTTCTTCCAAATCTTCTCATCAATGTCGTTCGGTTTCCCGTCCAACTCTAACATATCTTCCAAATTCTGCGTATTGAGCGCATCAAAGACTTCGTATCGCCAAAGTCCAAAATTGTTAGTGTCATTGAACTTCTCCACGTTATTCTTCATTGAGTGGATATTCAAACTTTGGACAGTCTTCACACCTGAAGAACCACCCTCAACACCTTCTTTCCCGGCCATAATCCTCAACACACCAACAAACAATTGCGGAAATGAACAAGAAATAGATCCAAACTTGAAAAAGATAGAGCCTTTACCAAAAAGATCCCACCTTTTTCACCAACTAAAATCCTAAACGAGCTTCCAAATCGATCTACTCCTTCAAATAGCCCAAGCTAGCCCGAGCTCTGATACCAATTGTTAGGGAAAACCCGTGTCGAGGAACCAAACCAACCGCCGATCAAAGAAGGCAAAATCCAACCAAAATCAATGCACAAACACCAAACACCAGTTTTAACTTGGTTCGACAATTGTCTACGTTCATGGGGTAAGAAGGGGATGAGGTTTTCACTAATAGAGAATAAGAGTACAAATTGAGATTACAAATCACTCGAAGGAACAAACTAATCTCACCACAAAGCTCTTAATCTCTTCAAATAAACCTTAAACAAATAGCTCAGAAAATACCTCTTTTCTGTGCTCCAAATATCCCGAACTCTAGCCTTAAGAAACCCTAGAACGTATATTGGTATTTATACAAACACCAAAATCCAAATCAGAACAGGAAACTCAAATTGGGCCCGGCCCCCCCCCCCCAACGACAGAGCCTGTAAATGCGTTACACGGTCCAGGCTCATGCCTGAGCTAGTGCACGTTCGCGGTCGACCGGCCTTGCACCGCGGTCGACCGTGCAGCTCCAAAACTGTTCCCTATGCCCCAAAAGCATGTTCTTCTCCAAAATTCTTCGCGGTTTCTTCAGTTTCTGCATTTAAAAACTAAGATGTTGCCTTTCGAGATGATAGGGTTCATATTGTGCGAGATGTGCCTACAATTCTAGTTTAGATCTTATAGGAATTGGAGCTATGGCCGTGGCCCATGTTCTTCCCAATTGGTTGGGCTTCTAAATGGCCCTCATAAACGAAAGAATGGGATACTGCTTTATAGGCCACTTCTGGGGCTAAAGCTGCTCCATTTAGGCCGAACTTATTTTGTTTCCTTCTTATCAAGAAATCATCTCCTTTAACCAGATATTTCCTATGAGAAAAAAAACTAACCAGACTGTAAGTACTATGTTAATCATCAAAAATCCTACAGTTATAGTATATATGTCGTTTGGAACTTGTAGTTTCCTAATAATGGGTTTCTAAAAAATAGAGTTTCTTACTAATGGTTTTTTTTACATTAATGCCTCAATGACCCAAATAGGGGACCCAAGGCATGGGACAGGTGAGGTGTAACCATCTGGTTGCATGATGCACTGTTATTGAACAGTACATCATGCAACCGGATGGTGATACCTCACATGTCCCATGCCTTGGGTCCCATATTTGGGTCCCTCTAGCAACACCCTTTTTTTATTAGGTTGGTATGGGTTAATTTTTAAGGAGACCCATATTGTGTTACTAGCTTCTTGGCCCTTTGTGTGTGTCATTTGTTAAGGCTTTTGAAGATAGCGTGTTCAGGCCCGTAGAAATTTTTTTAAATTACATATTTTCCCTATTTACCCTTGACCTCTTTCTACATTTGTCATTAGCTTCTGATCAAGGATTCATTCTTTAAACCCTTCTATATTTTGATTTATTTTGCATTAACTGAAAAAATGCCGTCTTTCACACGACATTTTCAAATGTACAGGTATCATTTAAATGGAGAGGGTCCTAAAGCATAAAACCAGTTGGGGGTTAGGTGTGGGTTCTCTTCTTTCACCAACTTTTTACTTGTATACCTCGACTTGTAGTTGCAGCTAAAAAATACCTTAAAAGTTTTTTTAAACTTGCACTTTTATACCCTCTCTTTTTTCGACAGTACTTAAATATTCTAAAGTTTTTACAACTAGTTTTTATCTACCCTTAAGTTTTTAAAACTTGCACATAAATTCCCTCAATTATGCAAACTTAAGGGTATTTAAGTATAAGTTATAAAAGCTTTAGGAAATTTAAGTGTTAGATTTAAAAATTTGAGGGTATTAATTAAAAGTTTTAACTATTTTAGGGTACGTAAATGCAAAAAAAAAAAAAAACAATCGAGACTATATAAATGCAAGTTAAAAAAAATGGGTATATAAGTGAAAAGTAATTGGTTCTTTTTTTTTTTGCCAATAGGAGTTTAGACAGAACTTTCCCTAGATTTTTTATGCTATAGATACGAATCTTATATAAAACACGCTCAAAAGATTCGATGAATTCCATGAAAGAGACATCATTTTAAAATAGCACAATAAGAACAACGCTCGCATCCTAGTGATATTAACTCAACACCAAAGATGCTATGTGGAGCACTCAACGCCCACTAAATATCTGCTTCTGATAGCAACACTACACCAACTACTCAACCCAGTAAAATTATTCAACACCACATCTTGCCAAGAAACAACTGTACTGTCATTTTCAAATTAATACATGAATTAAAAAAAACACATATACATCATCAAGCCCCTTGTTCTTGTAAATTAACATGTATAAACAAGAACATCAAACTTTATACACACGCACAACACTAAGTAACTTCACAATAAAATCTTTGACTAGAACAAATCAATACAACACTTAGATAAACGAAACATAAAACAAGCTAATTGATAAATTGATTGTTTCTTCAAGGACCAAAGCATCCAAAGATCTTTTTCGGTCCAAGCCCAGTTGCCCGATATTTTGCAGCCATCTCTTCAGCTTTGAGGATTTCTTCCCCGCGCTTGGCTTCAACCATTGCTCTCTTCTCTTCAGCCTCTTTGTGAAGCAATGCGATCTTGTTCTTCATTTTTTCAGCATACTCAGCCTTTTTCTTCTCTAGTTGTTCCTGCTCGTAAAATTAAGGGTTACGATGTTGTGCATGTTTCGGTTGACATTGTTCCTATTTAGCTAACTGTCGATGAATAAAATTTTGTAGTGAGATTTTTGTGTACCTCAATTTTCCTCAGCTGAGCTTCCACAGCTGCCTTCTTGGAGTTTTCCCATGAAGTAATGGATGACATTTTCTTTTCCGCCCTGTTTGATATTGCCAACAAAGTAAATTGTAGTCTTGCAATTACAGACGAAAAGTTTCTTTATAATGAAGGAGGCTTATATGCACTACCTCAGTATCTTCTCTTGAGATACCAATTATTTATGCAGTTACCATTCAGAGCTAAACAGAATACTATTGTAAGCGAAACCCACATTGATCAACTTATCAAAATATCAGCATCAACACAAAAAAAAACAGATATCAGATATGCTATGTACCTCAATTTTCACATATTATCTCTGTTTCCATTTTAAGGTGGACATCAGTTAACTCTTGCAATATAATTCGAAGTCAATTTGGAATTTAACAATAAAGAAGCAAGATGCGCAAGATGCTAAACTTACTTGTTCTCAGCTTTAGTCTTCTCACTTTCCTCCCAAGCCTTTATCAAAGACATTCTCTTTTCAGATTCAAGTCGTGCAAGGCTAGCATCTGAAGACGACACACAAGAAATTTTTTAAAATTTCATATCCTTGTCTTCAAAATTGCAATAATAAACATAAAATTGTTGATTTGATACAACAACTTTTTTCACATATACCTCTATCAGAGGAACCACCTGAGCTCTTCTCTGCTGGAGGATCAGCAACCTCTGTGAATAAACATCATAAAGTGTTAGAAAAGAAATTGTTATGTACAGTCTGCCACTGAAATTTATATGATACTTGTAAATACTCTTCAATCACTTAAAGTGAACATCGCGAAATTGCACTGCTGCTCATGCTTGACAATTTAATGAAGCTACATAATTTTCTTTTGGTATATACCACGAATACAGTTAAATTTAACCATTAACACCAGATATCGAATAATGAACTAATTTTTAACCAATACGAGAATTATGACTAACTTATATGAAAGAATGCCATATTCAAGAGAGGAACCGAATGTTTGGGCATCCTCCAACAACTTGGTTAAAATAGGGATATACATGACATTGAAGTAATAATTATTTATATGTGTCGTTAAATGGCACTTTATTAGTTCTTGAGTTCCTCTAAGCTTATCATACTTAGTGGTAGAAAAAAGGCTTTGCATAATTCCATCAAAAGGCAAGTTAAAAATGCAAAAAAGCTCAAGAGTACTAATATAAAGTATAATACAAAGCATGACTGGTTATTCCCACTACTGAGAAGATGGTATCTACTTAAAATCGTATAGAAGAAGCAAAGCTGGGGCCAGATAGTTGTATCTATCTGTTTTAGTAAATAAGAACAATAACTAAAGTTTATACAGTGAAAAATTCCCTCTGCCGACACAAAAAGAGAGTACAAAAAAAAAGCATGATACCCAACAGAGAACATTCTATGAGAGCAAAATCTTATCAACACTGGATAAAGATGAATAGGTGAAAATTAAATATATTTCTTTATTCAGTACCCAACAAAGTACATAGATCTGCAAGGAATATAACAGAAATTGCTAGCTATGAACAAAGTAAAACCTTATTTCAGACAAAGATGCTAAAATTACTTAAGTTTGTTTAGGAACGACAAGAACAGAGAGTTTCAACATGAAGAAGTTCTAATGGAGTCATAATTAAATGAAATTGACATAACTTTAGCTTGTTAGAACTTTACTGATCAATTCTGAGTATTCATGAAATTCTACAAATATTAATTCTCCATGCACATAATTTTCCTCCTAAAAGACAAAAAGCCATAAAATCCAAGGCAAACCCTTCTTAATTCTAGAGTTCCCTTCAGAGATTCCTGTACATGCAGAGAAAAAGAACTACCATGAACTAAGAAGCTAAAGAAATTGAAGTAACCAAACAAATTAAACATAATACCTTTATAATTAACAAATTTAAATTTAAAAAAAAAAAACCTGCTCAGCTGCAGGAGAGAAAAAAAAAAGTTACTTACTCTCAACAACAGCAAGTGCTTTGGAGTCATCAGCCTTCTCTTTGGCCGGAGTCGGCGTTGTTGCCGGAGATGGGATCACTTCCTTCTCCTCCGCCACATCTTTCGGGGCCTCGGCTGCCGTCGGCGGCGGCGTAGCAGGAGCTTCTGGCTCTGTTGAGACCTCTGTTGCCTCTACTTTCTTTGTTCCCTCTTCAGTTGCCATGGAATTTTTTCCCCCCTTCAAAGTTTCTATCTTTCCTTAAAATTTACAGAGACAGAAAGCACAAGATTGTGTTAGCGTACACAGAAGAGGAGTAGAGAGCAAAAGGGCATGGACTAAATAGAGAACAGAACACAAGGGTGGGGGTCCTCGGTGGCTGAGAGCAGAGAGAAGCCCCACTGGATTAGTGAAAGCTTTTTATTTATATTATTATGATGAAAATGATTGAATTATGGAATCACACAGTTGGAAGTCTCGGTGGGGAGATTACCTGTAGAGTCTAGAGACAGAGACAGAGAGAGAGAGAATGAGTTGGCACTCGGCACAGTGAGATAGAGTGGATAGCTTTATTGAATAAAACTTTTAGGGTTTTTACAATGCTAGTCCCTTACATCTTTCATATTTTGAAACAGTTCCTCCAAAATACTGAAACTGCTATTACGTCACCAGTTCATGTATCTTACTGGTGCTACTTTTTTATTGGAGTGATTATCTAAGACAATTTATAAAATGTGAGGGGCTCAATAGCAATTTTGATAATTTGAGGGGGCGACTTTCAAAATATTAAAGGATTTATGCTAAAACAGAGAGTAAAGACTATTTTGCGAATAGTCCTGATATTTTGGTGAGACTCAGGATAATAATTTTTGGTTCCAACTTGTTTTTTCCCTTCTTTTTGGTTTGGAATCTAGGCTATTTTAGAGAATAATTTTTTAAATTAAATTTAAATGAGATTCCGATAGAAATTAAATATGAATTTCTTTGATACTATTTTAAACACTCTCTCAATGGACGAAGAAGCTTTACTGAGATTATATTTGTGATTCATTTCAAATATTCATGTAATCTGTGACTTGCACTCAATTTTAACTTTAATTGATTATTTATTTATTTTCAGTAATATCAAAATATGAAGGGAAGAATGATGAAGGAGAGCGCAAAAGGACAGTACATGCAATTGCTTTCTCAAGTGTGAGTACAGATAATAAGAAGACAAGAGGGTTTGAGCTGTCTCTTGGATGATGGCCAGTAATTTTTGGGAGGATGCCTAGAATTACCAAAAGGATAGCTACACCATAACAAAAATGAAAAGCTAGAGTTGTTGCTACTTAAACTTCTCAAATTACTAAGGTTGATGGGCCAATATTAAAATGTCAAGAATCCCTAGGGAATTTTTAGGTTAATAAGATTTTGTTTAATTTGTTTCTTACACTCTGTTCAAGGCCAATAACTTCCGATTGAGCCTGATTGTCTCCCCACATTAAATGGCATTAGGAGTGAGGCGAAGGGGCTGTTTGGAAAGAGGTTTTTTTTAAGGGGAAAGAGCTAGAAAGCCTATCAAAAGCCTGCCAAAAGTGCAGCTTTTGGCAGGCTTTCCACCCAAATCGTCTCTTTTAGAGACGATTTGAGAGAGGCGAGAGGCGATTTGGGTGGAAAGCCTGCCAAAAGCTACACTTTTGGCAGGCTTTCCCACTACCCAAATCGCAAACAAACAGCCCCTAAGACTTTGAAGTATAAGTGAAGTATAATTTAATTTAAAGCTTGAGAGATTTGGGTTAATTTTATTCCTAATCTCCACTTAAGAGTCAATATCCCCCTGTTTCAAACAACTGTGACTAAATAATAGAATGAGACACAAATTTTGTATATATTAATTACACCTAATATATTGTCTACTGAACAAGTCCACATACAACAAATAGTGTTACAACTATATTTTCTAACTAAACAACCCTTTAGTTGGAGCGGTGGTAAACCTCCATTGATCTTTGATGCAAAAAAGAAAATATCCAATAAAAAGGGAGAATTGGAGCTAAATAGTATATGCAACATAGTAGCGTTCATAAATGTTATAATTAGTTATACAAATATAATGAATACATGATAGTCGATAAAAGGACAGCTAGATATGCACATAAGCTGTAAATAAGTAAATTAAAAGACTAGATAGAAAGAGCGAATAGACGTTGACAATTATGAGAAAAACTTTACACATACGCTACAAAAGATTTATATTGGATCGATGGTGATTAAAGTCTTCACTAGAGGGATAATGACACCCAGAGAACTGAAAAATTACTCCATATATATGTAGGGCTAATAGCATCACACATGGGGTAACAGTTTCGTACATCGATAAACTTCTGAAAGCTAAATAAATTGCCACCTACTAATTTGATCAGGAAACGCCATTAAACGTCAATCATTAAACTGATCTTCAAAGTCTTAACTATAGTGCTAATGACATCACCGCAAATTATCTAAGTATGAAACTTGGGTTATTCTGGTCAGAATAGTGCAGTTGAAAACAGTTCCCGGCCGACCTTCACCAAGCCTAACTTGTGAGTTGTGAGGATGTGGCGCTCATTTAAGTGGCTCAAATTGCAACAAAGACAGATGAGCAATCAACTTTAGGCAGAAGGGCCCCCCAACTCGTCAAATATCTTCGTGAAGATTGTCTTTAGATTTTGATCGGCTGAAAGCCCCTTTTATATATGTTCATTGATGTTCGAGAGAATTTACTGATTTCAAAGATTTAAGATTTAAGCACGAATTAAAGGTAGGGGCGCAAGTGGGTAGGGTTCAGATTGATTTTGGATTTAGACCCCAGTCACTCATTTAACAAATGAGTTGCATCAGAATAGGTCCAGATTGAGTTCGCGGTGGTCTTAGAAAACTAATTTCATTTTGGGTAAGTTCCTCGGCAATTTATTCTCCTCCGAACACTGATGTGCATGGGGTTGGAAAATGCTAATAAAAGAGTTGAGGGGTGATATATATTAGGGGAAAATGCTTCTAGCCCCCAAATTCGTAACAAGTATGCTTCCCCCTCCCAAGACTTTTTCAACGCTCTAAAAACCCCCAAATTCGTAATAACTATGCTATGAGCCCCCAAAACACAAAGCCCAAGAATTTTATACAGGTAAAGACTATAATACACATTCTCTCTCTAATATTATATTCGTAATAGCCATATATACAATCCGTCTTCTCTCCCTCCTCCTTCCCCCACCATTTTTGCCCTAGCCCCTCCGTCCCTTCTGCAACCCTCGTGGCGGCCGAAGCTCCTCTCCGGTCTCACGCCTCGACCCCTCGCCTCTGCTCGCCGAGATCCTCCATGTCCACCGCTGATCCCAGCGCGGCCCCCTTGGCCTTTGCTCGCCGAGAATATTTCATGAAGCTCAGAACCTCAACCTTAACCTGTCCCTGCAGCCTGGGCCTCGTCCCGAGCACGCACGAGTTTTCTCGTGTAACTATTGCAGACGGACTTTTTTACAGCACCCAAGCTCTTGGAGGACACCAGAATGCACACAAGCTGGAGCGCAACCTAGCGAAGAGGAGCAGAGAGATGGCTAATGATTGAATTGATCTCGTAATGACACGTGCGAACTTGATGTTGCTTTGTAGCTTCTGAAACTAATGCATCTAGATTTACTAGCAACAGAGTTTCTTCCTGTCACATGTTTTCTTTTTGGGATCTTTTTCTTTTTTTATTTCCCCCCTTCAAAATAAGTTTTCCTGTTCGAAAAAGAATGTCTCTTCTCTCTTGCATCAACGGTATTTTCTTTCTTCACGTTTAGTATACATGTACCCAATGATAGTTATCTTTTCTATTTGCAGATAAGGTTACGGTTGTTAAGGTTACGGATTGTTAAGATTACGGGTTGCTTGTTAAGATTACGGGTTGTTTGTGAAGGTTACGTGTTGCTTGTTAAGGTTACGGTTTGCTTGTTAAGGTTACGCGTTGATTGTGAAGATTAAGCTTAACAACCAACCCGTAACCTTAACAACCAACCCGTAACCTTAACAATCAACGCGTAACAGCAACCCCGTAACCTTCACAAGCAACCTGTAAAACCTTCATAAAAATAAAAAAAGGAAGGAAATAGAAAAAAAAGCTTTAATTTTTTGTACGTCTACTATAATAATTCATAACTTCATAAAAATAAAAAGCAGTAACAATTCTACACTTTCCTTCAGAAAATTCATGCTTACAGCACCACATAAAACTGTGCAATGTATGATTACTTTCATTTTACCACTCAACACTCACTGAGGAGGTGGACTGCCATGGTTTTGAGACTGTTGACAGGGTAGAGGAAGAAGACGATGATGCATACATTTGTTTTAGGTAGTGGGAGTGAGCTAGATTTTGTAATAATATTTCACTTTTAATTTTAATGAAATTTTCAAAAGCCAAACGATTTATGTGTTGGTTGTTAAGGTTACAGGTTGCTTGTTAAGGTTACACGTTGGTTGTTAAGGTTACGTGTTGGTTGTTAAAGTTATACGCGTTGGTTGTTAAGGTTTCGGGTTGCTTGCTAAGGTTACACGTTGGTTGTTAAGGTTACGGATTACTTGTTAAGGTTACAGTTAATCTTATCAACCAATGCGTAACTTTAACAAGCAACCCTTAACCTTAACAAGCAACCCGAAACCTTAACAACCAACGCGTATAACTTTAACAACCAACATTGTTAAGGTTACGTGTTAGTTGTTAAGGTTACGAATTTTCAAAAGCCAAACGATTTACGTGTTGGTTGTTAAGGTTACAGGTTGCTTGTTAAGGTTATACGTTGGTTGTTAAGGTCACATGTTGGTTGTTAAAGTTATACGCGTTGGTTGTTAAGGTTTCAGGTTACTTGCTAAGGTTACACGTTGGTTGTTAAGGTTACGGATTACTTGTTAAGGTTACGGTTAACCTTAACAACCAACACGTAACTTTAATAAGCAACCCGTAACCTTATTAACAAGCAACGCGTATAACCTTAACAACCACGGTAAATTTCCCTGCAGAAAAAGATGAATGAAGTATTTAACACACACACACACAAGTTGTATGAAAAGACATAAAGTACAATAATTTCCAAGAACGACAGCACTATAGATGGTGGGGGATGATGGACCTGAGGGATGGAGAGGGGGGTTTGATGTGGCGTCTGGGGGAGGAGAGATTAGGTTGGGAACAAAGGCGAGGGGTCGAGCGGAGGCTGCGCTGGGATCGGCGGTGGACACGGAGGATCTCGGCGAGCGGAGGCGAGGGGTCGAGGCGTGAGACCGGAGAGGAGCTTCGGCCGCCACGAGGGTTGCAGAAGGGACGGAGGGGGCTAGGGCAAAAATGGTGGGGGAAGGAGGAGGGAGAGAGGAGAGAGAGAATGAG